CTCAGACTCCCCGCTGAGCGTGGTGCCAGACATGGGGCTCGATCCCTGGACCCTGAGATCATGACCTGAGCCGAAATGAAGAGTTGGATGCTTAACTGGTTGAGCCTCCCTGGCGTCCTGGAAACCCTGAAGTATTTTTAAGTAATGAGTGACATGGTCAGATGGACATTTTTGAAGGAGCAGTCTGGCTACTGGTTGGAGAGTAGATGAAGGGAGTGAGGGAGAGAGTTGCAAGAGGGAAAGTGGGAGGCCCGGTAGGAAGCCATTGCAGTAGTCCCGGCAAGGGATAGTGTGGGTTGAATCAGCATGTTGGCCATAGAGCTGGAGAAAACTGGAAGGATTTATGATATGTTTTGGACCTAAGGCCAGGATGAGCTGATGGATTGGATGTGGCAAGAGAGTGAAGGGGACACTTGGGCAACTGTGTGGGGCCATTTTCAAAGATGGAGGAGACAGGAGAGGAGCAGGGCTGGGGGAGGGGAGTCCTGCTTAGTTTGGTTGGGAGCGGGCACCCAAGGAAGGAGTCTGGGTGATGCCCAGATCCCTGACCCTGCTACTGTGTGGCTGGTGGTGCCATTTCCAGAACCAGCGAGCATGGGCCATGGAGCAGGTTTGGAGAGGAAGCTGGAGGCTTCAGGTTTGCCACCTGGGGCCCAGCTGCCCAGGGGACGCCAAAGGAGACTGCCTAGCAAGAAGCTGCTTTATGGTTTGTGCTCCAGTCCTGGCCTGTGGGCACAGGTTCTGTATTTGGTGGGGGTCTTTTGTTGGTGGTAGTGGTTGGTCAGTTGGTTTTTTGGTTAGGCAGCAGGCAATTAGCTGCACTTAACCTTCAGCCTCTCTTCCCTAGATCTATACCCTCCAAGCAGGGCCCCTAATGAAATGGTCGCTTTCCGATAGATTTTTCATCATAAGACAATTTTAACATAAAAGCAATGTTAATAAAAACCAAATGTTAGCTCAGGCCTTCCAGTAAATCATAATAGATTAGATGCTGCACCGAAATGAATATCCCACTGTGGAAAGGGTTGACCAGTTGGAGGAAGGCACTCGTTGTGATTCAATTGGGCCACATAATGAATTCTGGTTCATATCTGTAATAGCAAATGCAGCCTTCTCTCCTTTGTCAAGTCTGCAGAGGCCTGGCCCAAGGGAGGGGGGTGAGTTCTGCAGCTTTTGTATTCTTAAAGGTTCCCCCACTCTACCCACCACCCTCTTGCCCCATCCATTTATCATTGTTTACCCAAGAGGAATCTCGGGCTTTTTGGGTTTTGTTTTGTTTTCTGAGAAGTTACTGGAACACAGATGAGAGGTATGGGAAAGGTTGAAAGGTAATAGGATAAAGGGAGGCTTTCGTCATGCAGAGAGCTGGCAAACCATCATTTTGGATCTCGACTGACACATAATCAGAACTAGAAGTACCTTGGAAATCGGCCCAACATCTGGTTAGCTTTCGAAATAGTTGGTCTATACTTTTCCAAAGCTGGCAATGCTTGTGTGACTACAGCCAAGGAGACCTCGCATGGTCAAAACAAAACACATTTTTTGCCCATCATTTACCTGGTGCTGTTGTGGCCTCTTTAGCCAGGGTGTCGGTCTCCATCTTTTTATGTAGCTTTGGTCTGGGTCTTTTCTACCCCTCTGCTGGGTGGCGGCTCCTGCTAAGGAGGCCGAATCCAGAAGCCAGAACTTAGAAGGGAAGCTTAGGAACTGGTTCCTGACATCACGGAGCCACACCCTTCCCTTCTATTTTGGACTCTTTGAATTCGTTGGGAGTGCCCCCCCCCGCCACCACCTTCCCCCGAACCCTGTGATCACTGGGTGGAAGCGATGCAGAGGGAGACCCTTTCTGAGTCATTTGGACAGAGCAGGATCTGACCCCAGCAGGAAGGGAATGAGGAAGCATGTGGTCTGCTGGAAGTCTGAACGTGCTAGCACGTCTTCCCAGGCCATGTGAAGCACATCTGGGTTTCTTTGGAATTTCTCTGTTGCTCAGTACTTAAGGGTTGAAGCAAATAGGACAATATATTATCCACAGTGTTTATTTCAGTCAGGCGGAAATGGCTAGCAAAGAAACTCAATCAGGCTTGCGACAAAATCTGCCTTTCAGTGCCTAAAAACCTGTGTGTGTGTGTGTGTGTGTGTGTGTGTGTGTGTGTCCGTGCACACGTGTGCTGTTTCCCTGTTCACATGCATATTCTTGTCATATCGTGACATCGACCGTGTTCATTAACAACTCTCAGCCACTAATTTGTTTGGACCCAGAAGAATGTCTGGAGCTTTTGAATGGCTGCACAGGCCTTGAAAGCCAAGGGCAGGGATGGGATCATTCAGAGTAACGGAGGGGCTTTTAGAGGCTGTGGTGGGAGAAAAAAGAGAGAGGGGGAGGAACTGAGGCACCTGGCTCAGGGGAAACTTTGGGGAAAACAGAGATGCTCAAAGGGTTTTTGTTTGTTTGTTTGTTTTTACAAAGTTTTTCCATGTGTTGTATGGAGTCGACCCTGTTCCCTGTCTCCCCAGTGGCCGGTGGTAAAATCCACTTCACATAGAATGCGTTGTAATACCAAGTCTGTTTTGGGGAGAGTGCCTTGAGGAGAGAGATCATCTTGAGTGGTTGGGGGGCAATGGAGACCACTCCAGAGTAGGCATGAGCACAACCAGATCATGTCATCTCCCGCTAGCTGCCGTCCGGGGATCTTGGCAGGTAAGCCTTGCCTGACCCCTTACCCCAACATCTGCCTCATCGCTTCCCTCCAGGGTCCCCCCATCCCCCGCCCTCCCGAAGTTTTACCACACTCCATGCAGGAGCTCCTGGTGCAGCTCAAGGCAAATTCTCGCTCATCCTTAGACTCCTACCTGAGCAGCTTGTCCCTGAGTCGGCCCCCAAACGGCATCGTGTTTGGAAGTTAGCTGGATCTTGTCCACCTTTGGAATCCTCCTATTCTGACAACACTGCCAACTTGCTCTGTTACCTTGGAGACGTGACTTAACATCTCTGGGCCCTAATTTCCAGCTAGAGGAGGAGGTTGTACTGGAATCCAGTCCTGTGAAGTTCTTGAAGGAAGTGTCTCTGTCCCTCGGGGTCCCCCTCTTCACAGAGAGTGGATCCACTAGTTGAGGGAAGTCAGGATAACCTTGGAGTGTTTTTCTTCCTGTTGAGAGATTTTGCCACAGATTTTCTCATTTTTGACAAATTCTCAGGGAGTGGGGGCGGTCATAGGGAAGAGACAAAATGTGGAAATTCAAGACCCGGTTCAAGTCTCGGTCTCTCCCGGTTCTGCTGACCACCGCCATATTCCCTCCCGCTGGCCTCATTGAGGGGGGATGAGAGATGGTCCAACCGGGGAGCGTTTTTCCCCAGAACCACTGACTGACAGTTCCCAAAGGGCCAGAACGGGAGGACAGAGAGATGTGGGGGTGGTGTTGACATCTCTGGGGGAAAAAAACAGCCGCCAAAAAGGTTCAGTTGGTGTTCTTCTTGCCATTTAATAAACCAGGATGCTTCAGAGCTGGACATGGAGCATCAAGATAGGATATAGAATCCGCAAATTAAATTTTCGCTGCAATCGGATTTTTTGATGAAGCCACGTTAGGGAGGCGCGCTCGTGAAAACTACCCAGCTCGAGCCCTCAGGCCGTCCCTCACCCGTGTCATCTCCTTGGCATGGCTCAGCCTTTGGTTTGGAGCTGGAAGGAATTCAATAAAGCAAGATATATTGTTATGGTTTATTACGTCAATGTGTGTGTGTGTAGGAGTCGCTTAGGAAGCAGACAGTCAGCTCTTCAATGCTATCCTCCTCTGTTTTGTCAAGGTTCTAAATGAAGCGTCATCTAGTACTCAAGGGGCCGTATTTCAAGAGTTCCGAGAAGTGCCACCTTCCCCCCTTTTGTAGAATAACAGGAAAAGACGTGCTTTCAGCACAAACAATCCATTCAGCTTTCCAACCTTGGATCAAGTGAAATGTTTGTTTCTGTGAGTGTATTTTTCCAGAGCCACGTTAGAAGAGAGATAAGGATTTGGGGCAACCCTCACCCCGCACCTGGCCTGCTGAAGTAGTCTGCACAGGTCCTCCTGCCGCCCCAGCCCCCAGGTTCTGCTTTAAGGGAGATGACCTTGAGGTCACAGTTGGACTTGTGTGCGCTCCCCTTCTCTCTGCCCAGCCACCCCTCCCATCTTGTTTTTTGTCTTTGAAATGCTGTCCGTGTTTCCTGGCAGAAAAACGATTCCTTTGCCTCTTCAAGAGAGACCCGCGCTCTTGGCATCTCTGTATTTGCACCTCTCTGTTGTAGGATGTAGCCTAATGTCTCTATGCCAACACCACCCCTTGCCCAGTGCAGCGCCGGCCCCCGCCTGTGCGTTCGAGTGGCGGGCCCGGCTCCTTGAGTTGGCTGCCAAGAGCTTGAGGTGCAACTCTTGGGCATGACTGTAATTTCCTTTCCGTCTGGTCCGTTCCTCTTGGTCTGCATTTCCCCCACCGTGGAACGTGTCTGATCCGGGGGTGGCCTCTGGTGGCATGCAGACCTGGCGTGGGACGGCGCAGCACCACGCCGTGCAGAACCTACTCCTTTTCCGTCCCTGTTCTGAGCCCCCCGATTATGTCCAGGAGCTTGTCACCGTTTGGGGCTGGTACGTCTTCCGCACCTCTTAAGTACCTGCCAACCTCCCCTTTTTAACAAAGAGAGCAGGTCTCAGACCATGATGAGTAGTAGCTAGTCAAGTCTTTGGCTAAAATGTAAAAACATTGTCTTTTTGTTTTGCTCAGTGACTGTCCCTGTTGCGGCAACGCGGATTTCCCCTTTACAAACGGTGATAGAACATGTTTTAATATGTGGATTTAAGTTCCGTTCACAGAGGACTCTGCAGTAGGTGAGGGGTCAGGCAGCACCAGTCATGGCAGAAATCACGGAGATGGACCACGGCCACCGAGCATGGGGCGGCCCCGCGCGGAGGCGCCTTCCCGGATGAGCGACTCCACCGACAGCCTGCCCCTTTCTGCGTTCCAGGCATGGATCCTGAGAAACTCGAGCAAATCCAGCTCCCAGTGCCCGGTGCGGCCGAGAAGACCACCTACAACCATCTCCTGGCTGAGAGACTCATCAGGATCATGAACAACGCGGCCCAGCCAGGTGCCTGGGGTGTGGCTGCTCACAGGGGCAGTGGAGGTAGAGGGACCAGGCCCCCGGACCGTGCGCCAGGAGTCCTGGGTTCTAGACCTGGCCTTTCTGGGAATGCAGGCTGGTCTCAGCCACTCCCTGGGCCGTGGATACCCTGGGCCACCCATACCGTCCTGTCCAGCCGCGTCTTCACCTGGGGGTCTCCTCCTCTTCCCTCCCCTGTGGTGTTTGTGCTGGACCCCGTCTTTCCTCTCTTTCCACACCCAGCCCTTCTTTTGCCAGTGTTGCCAGTGTCTCCAGCCTTCCTCTTGGGGGTGGCCAAGGCCACATCTGAGTGTGAACCAGGCTGAGAGTGCATGTGAGGGAAGTCTGGAAGGTTCGAATCGGGGGCTCTTGAGAGTACAAGACATGCCCAGTGTCTGGCACTTGTCATCCCAGTTCTGAGGTTTTGGCTGAGGATCTGCTGCCATGGCAAGGGCTAGAAACAGCAGGTGGAATGATCTAGTACAGTGGTTTTAAGTGGGATCAACTTTGCCCCCTGGGGGACATTTGGCAACGTCCAGAGACACTTTTGGTTGTCACAGCTTGAGGAGAGGTGCTGTTGGCATCTAGGGGCCAGGGGTGCTGCTGAACATCCTTAGCGCACAGGATGGCCTCCAATGACAGAGGATCATTTGACCCAAAATATTGGCTGAGCTTGAGAAACCCTGATGGCAAGGCCAGTTCTCTGTAGAGGCAGGAGAGAGAGGCCATCAGGGTGTGAGTGAGAGCACAGAAATGGGCCTGACGGAGATGCGGCCTGGTTGAGAGAGAACCCCTGAGCTATACAGTAGGAACAGTGTGGGGATGAGCCCAGGTCAGGCTCAGGAGAAGGGCAGGGGTGGAGGTTGTGGTCGTAGGCCAGGACTTCAGAGGTCACAGGACGTGGGCTCCGCCAGGCGGCCAAAAGCCCAATGGGACTTTGGGGAGAGAGTACAGAGGCTTGGGGAATGGGGTCCATGGACAAATGTTTATCGAGTGCCAGCTGCTGTGTGCAAATGACGAGGGTACAGGAGGTACAGGACAGATGTGGCTCCTGCCTTCCAGGAGCCACAGCTGGGGGTCTGTGAAGTCCCAGGGGTTTGGGCCTCCACGTGGAGATAGAATCTAGAGCTCATGGGGATCAGGACCAGAGCTGACATTGTGGGACTCACTCACAGACATGTGGGTGATCTTTAAAGCCACAGGAGAAAAGAGAGGTATGTTGGGACCAAGCCCTGTGCCGCTACAAGTGTCTCGAGGTGACAGAGCGGGAGCCAGCGTGGGACCCTGAACCGGGTCCCACACGGACGAGGGGCAGCAAGAGAGACAGGTGTGGCTCAGGACCAAGGGCACTCAGTGGGGTCAGTTTTCTACTGAGAGGTCTAGCGCAGGGAGCAGAGTTCATCCCTGAGGATGCTGAGGGGGCAGTTGGCGGGGGCTATCTGAGCAGATGTGGCTCGGTGGTCAGGGAAGGTAGGGTATGGCCCGGATGTTAGCGAGGAGCCTCCAGGGTGGGGAGGGACAGCCAGCCCCTTGAGGGGGCCAGTGGGAGGAAGTCAGCACCTGGCAGGAGCTTGCAAAGGAAGGAGGGTCTGGTTGGAAGATCACACTCCCCTTCCCTGGAGGCAGCAGCAGTGGGGCAGTGGCTGGGCCAGTGGGGTTCCGTGGAGGGGCAGGCAAGAGTGAGACCGTGCCCTAGAGAGCTGGAGGTGGGAGGCGGGTGGGCGCGGCCAGTAGGGCGGCCGTGCAGAAGTCATGTTCGTGCTGGGTCGATGGGGCTAGAGAGTGAGACAGAGCCACGGAGCTGAGACCAAGCAGCCTTTCCCAGTGAATGCTTTCCTCTTCTCCCGTTCCCCACCAGATGGGTGAAGCAGGAAGGGGTGGGCAGGGAGGTGTGCGGTGGTACATCTGCCTTGAGTTTTTCCCAGTACCTGGTCCTGACGTCTGGGGTTTCCAGGGCCTCAGGGCTGTGGCCTGGAGACTTCTTCCTCTCCTCGCCCCTCCTCCACATTGAGACATCTCCCCAGAAAGGTGCTTAAAGACCCAATGAGCAGTTTGCCTAAGAGCAGGTTGCCCTCCTGTCAGGCGGCCACAGATGCTTCTAGGAGCAGTGCCCGACGTGGGTCTTGGCATTCAGAGCACCTGGAGTCCCAGGGTGAGACTTTGGACTTTCCTGAACCTCAGTCTTTAGAGCACCCACCGCAATGGGTTTTTCCAGAGACTCCTGGCAGGAGGGTCTGTAACGTGCCCAGCACCGTGCTTGGCTCACAGTAGCGTAGCAGGTGGGTTGCTGTCGACAGAAACCCGACTCAGGCTGAAACAATACAAACAAACTATTGGCTTGTGTAACTTGAAGTCTTTTGGAGCCTGGCTTCAGGCATAGCTGGAAACAGAAATTCAATGTTTTCAGAACTATTTTTGGACTCTCCCACTTTGTGTGTTAGCAGGATAACTACCAGCTGCAGCTCCAGCCATCCCTTTCCCTTCCGGGGTTTGGGCCTTGCTGTAGGAGACATACTCTGGGCAGTCTGATGGGAAGGGTGGACTTGGACGCAAGATGGAAAACGCAGGCAAGGGTGCAGAGGTGGCCAATGTGGATTATAAGGCTTGTGCTGCTCAGGGCGCTTCAGGGCCCCGACACGGTTCCTGTCCTGCCCTCAGCCCAGCACAAGGAGACCTTCTCTTGCACAGTGGTCCCAGCATGTTGTGGAATTGAGCCTTATTGGCTCTGACCGGCCCCCCTTGCCTGTCCCCTCCCCAGTCACTGTGACCGGAGGAATAGAGCACCCTGACCAGCCTGGGTGATGTGCCCCTCCCTGGGACAGAGCAAAGGGACCGGCCCCACCCAAATTAGAGACCCAAGAGTGGGGTTGGTGATTCTCCAAAGCAAAGAGTGGTGCTTGCTCCTGAAAAGGGGAGGGAACCGAGCCAAGGAAAGTAACCACAGACGGCCACTTTCGCCGCCTTCAGGAATAATTAGTAATAATCTTTTTCCTGCCTCCTTTCCACTGATAAAGGGAGTGCAGGGGAGTATTTGGTGTGGGCGTTTTGGATGGAACATTTTATTGTAATTGGGAAGGGGTTGGCATGTGAGTTCCCTCTGTGTCCCCACTGGATGTCAAGGGCCGTCAGCTGACCTGTTAACCTCAAAGTGGGCAAGGCAAGAAACTGCGTTTAAGGCCTTCCCACCAGGCTGTGCGAGGCTGACCCTGCTTTCCCCTGCAGATGGGAAGATCCGGTTGGCGACGCTGGAGCTGAGCTGCCTACTCCTAAAGCAGCAAGTGGTGACCAGGATGGGCTGCATCATAAAGGATGTGCACCTGGCCTGCCTGGAGGTGAGGGCCCCCTCCCACCGCCTGGGTTCCGCGGGAGGCCGTGCGTGGGAAGGAAACTGCTGGAATCAGATGGGAACCCTGGTCCTGGGGTCTGCAGCACCGGCGAGAAGCAGGGCCTAATAGCCCTGATCCCCCACTGCAACCCCCTTGTTCCGGTGGAATTACCATTCCTCTGAGATTGGCTCGATGAGCCCTCTTAATTAGTGAATTTCAGTAATTTCTGTGACAGCTTTTGGCCCTGTATTTGTCAACCAGAATTTTAATATTTTCCTTTATGTATTAGAAAAATGTTACACATATCCAAACACATGCATGCTGCATGCTTTTTATGTTTTTATAGTGCTAATATCTGTATTCATTGTTTTTTAGTTTTTATTGTTTTCCCCCTTATTTTTCACGTTTATTTGAGAAAATTTAGAAAGTACAAAGGCAGAAAGGAACAGCTATAGTTGACGCTTTGGCGTGTGTCTTTCCAGATACCCACACACTGACACATTTATGAGTCACCATGGCCATGTTTTATAACCCACTTGCCCCACCTAACTGTATGTTAACAACTTTCCAGAATCCCCTCTCTTTTGCCCATTTTTATTTTAAGCTAGCCTGCCCGCCCGCCCTCCCTCCCTCCTTCCCTCCCTATTACAAACCACTCTATTGATTTAAGGATATGAGCCCAGCCTCTCATCTGCTTGATATGCACTCAGATTTTGGAATTGGTAACTTACCCAACTCACTGGCCTCCTTCCCACCTTCCCTCTTTCAACAGGGCGCAAGAGAAGAAAGCGTTCACCTAGTGCGGCATTTTTATAAGGTAAGTGGCCAGAGCGCAGGGGAAGGCAGTGTGGTGTGCATCACAGACACAAGATTGTAGTATCTAGGCGTGCGCACATACCGATCACAAGTCTGTGGTGACTTCTTGTACCCGTGCGTACTAAGCACGCGCCATGTCAAACCCCTGAGCAGCGGGCCCTGCGCTCTTCTTAGCGGTACCCCTTCTGAGGACTCACCCCTAGTCTGTGACAGTTTGTTTATCAATGATATATGAATTTGTTTACTGATGAATCTACATATAAATGTGAATTACATGCATGCACGGGACTATTACATATGTAAATTAATATATGCATGAGGTATGTATGTTTTCCATATAAAATAACTTTTGAATTACTTATGAATTTTATGCATGTATGTCATTTACAGACATGTATGCCAAGACACCTCATACAGGCTTCTAAACCTTTATCATTAAGTTCAGTGAGATTTGTAAAGGGCCACCAGGACTCTGAGTCACTGGGGAATTTGTAGATGTCCTCTTCAGATTCCAGATGGTTAGTTTTGAAATATCTCACTGTGATGGTTTTGTTTTGCTCTATATCTAAAGCGTGATGTATTCTTAGGGAAGCACATCATCTGTCAGCAGGAGATGGATTAATCCACATTCACACTGGCCCTGTAGCTCCCCAAGTTTTTGACCTCCACGTCAGGTCTCCCCAGGTCCACTTAGCCAGGGTTTCCCATGGTCATTTGGCTGATACAGAGAACCTCTCTGGAGGAGGAAAGGTGTCGGCGCTGCCATCTTCTTCTTGTTCACCTGCTTTCATTATCTGTAGTCTCTACAAACTGCCATGAATCATAGGCACATATGCAGCAGATCCCTTTTCTTTGCAGGAAGCTTTTTAAGCCACTGTCCATTATTGTCGGTGTCCGTTGAGAGAAAGCGAGGTCTTATAATCTGGAAATCCACCTCACCAGGCGCAGACGACCCCATGCAGCTGCAACATGGTGGACATGCCCAGATGAGGGTGGACCACTGTGGGCCCCCAGCGTGGGGGAGGAGATCCTAGGCTCCCATAGGCCATCCCGAGGGGCTTGGCCTCTGAGCGAGGATACAAGTCCTCAGCAAAGCCCAGAAGAGAGTGGGAGCCTCACGGCTGCATTAGTCATCTTTGGGTCTCTTTCCAGGATAACGGCTCTTCGTTTGTTTCCCCCCCTAGAAAGCCTTTGCATTGCAAAGTCAGAAAGACAGAGATATATAGGTAGGCATTTTCCCAGAGGGTATATCTTTAGCCAAAAGAGAGCTATATTTGAATTGTAGCTCTTCTCCCTACCCAGATTGTTCATTTGTCCTATAAGTGTTATACCCTAAGTATAATATCTCAGAAGCTTTTGGATGTTCTCAGGATTGTGATTTTTGTGGTTCTTACGTGGTTCTTACGCCATGCAAGAGTATTCAAGTTTCAACTGGAAAAATATATAAAGGACTTGCTCCTTTTCCCATCCTGACCGTGTGTGTGTGTGTGTGTGAGAGAGAGAGAGAGAGAGAGATTCGGGACTTAGGAGTGAGACAGGACAGTTTGAATAGTCATGATGCATTCAGCTGAATCTCCACTCCCCTCCCTAGCTGTGCTTCATCTGAGGGTGACCGTAATGACCATGAGTGCTAGCATTTGCCAGCCCTGACTGAGTGGCAGGCTCTGTGGTCAGCACTTTACTCGGGTTAACTCCTGTCATCCTCGCAGTGACCTGCATAGACATGGGCTGTCATTCCAGTCTTGCAGCGAACCAGAGAGAGGCTCTGAGAGGTAAAGCTGGGATTGGGCCCCTGGTTTGCGTGTCTCAGAGCCAGAGTCTTACCCACCACCGCCCTGCAGAACTGCAGAGCCTTACAGGTGTGCCTCAGAAATGACTGGAACAAGCTGTGTAATTTTAGTGTTAAGTATGCTTATACGCTTCCTTTCTGAGGCGTGGAGCCTCATAGATTTAACATGGCACCTGAACCAGGCTTCCCATTTCTCCAACCCTTCTCAACACATAGATGATGTGAAACACTCGCAATTTCACCCACTTTTATAGTTTAATTATATATGGTGTTACTTTTGTTGTCGTTTTAATTAGCTGCCTTGACAGAAGGAATCTAACTGCACATGCTTAAAAAAAAAAAAGAGAAACGTTGAGAGGTGGAATATGATATTTGGGGTTTCATTTGAGCGTGTGTGTTCGTGTTCACGTGTGTGTCTTACTTCCTGGTGATTTACAAGAACTCACTGATGAGAACCAGATGGCCCCAACAGCCATGAACTGGAGTTTATAATAATTTGGTGTTTATGGAAAAAAATATGCATAATCTCTCTCCCTTCCTCTTTTAGGGAGAAGAAATTTTCTTGGACATGTTTGAAGATGAGTACAGGAGCATGACAGTAAGTGAGGGGCCAGGACGCACTTGGTTGCCTGCACGGCTCATCCGGTGAAACTGAGAGAAAGCTGTCTTACTGGGGCCTTTCTGACCGAGATTGGTGGGGAAGTGAATTGGAAATGGTGCCTTTTGATCCCCGCCACTGGTGAAATTTCAGATGACCCCCACTTCCCCTTTGTGGGCTGTGCCATAGATGGGTCGGAAAGATTCACTTTGATACGAATAATCTTTGAGGACTCGTGCCTTGTCAGAAGTGTAGAACACGTTGTATGTGTTCATCCTGTTACTGCCCCTGTCAACCTGATGGGAGGGGCTGCTAGCATAGACTCCTTTCACCCTGATCAGGAGGCAAGGATCAGAGGTCGAGTGAGGCCCCATGCCTGTCCAGCCAGGGAGGTGCAGAACCAGGATTCCAAAGCACAGCAATTTGCCTCCAGTGCCCTGCCCTTCTTTGCTGTGCCACCGGAATGTTCCAGCGTGTTGCTTATCCTTGAATCCACAGCACTGGCCCAGAGTCTGCCCTGTTTCCCTCTGTCCATCAGGCATAAGTCATGGGAAAAGATGGGTTTAGAAGATTTGCAGCTTTCTCTGTTTTGTTCATTTCTGTGCATCCCTATCGTCTGACCCTTAGTTGGCACTCAGTAAATAGATGATAAATGTCCTTTTCATGGACATTGCTCATCAAAGAGTGAGGGCGCCTAGGTGGCTCAGTCGGTTAAGCGTCTGCCTTTGGCTCAGGTCATGATCCCAGGGTTCTGGGATTGGGCTCCCTGCTCCTTGGGGAGCCTGCTTCTCCCTCTGCCTCTCTCTCTGTCTCTCATGAATAAATAGGTAAAATCTTAAAAAAAAAAAAAAAATGAAGTGATTCCAGAAGTTTATAGTAAACCTAAGTGTCTAAAGTGTCGCAAAGACAAAAGCAGCTTGCTTTAAGTGTCTCCTGGCTCCCAAGCCCATCTCACCGGGTATGGACTGCTGGGCCCTTACCACATCCTCGCCCTCGGCACTTCCAAGGCCTCTGCAGAGCCTATTCCAGGGAAAATTGTAAACTGGCATAGATCATCTCCAGAAATACCCCAGTAGCGCCCAAGGCCTCCTCTGGTGAGGTACAGGCTGCTCGGATGTGCCTCACACCTGGCGATGGCCGCTGCTCCCCGTTATTCCCCCAGCCCCTGGAAGGCTGTCTCGGTCTTCTACTCTTTGGACCGGTAGTCAGAGTGGAGTGGATTTGGGGCTTAGCTACCATTTCATCTTGCCCCTGTGATGTCCCCTTCTGCAATGTAATTCTCCACAGTTTGGATTCCTGTTGGAAACGTTAAGTCTCCTATGTCGCTTGACGGTGTAGAAAAGCTCAGGCTCCTAAACCCCTGCTCAGTTTCTGCCTTTTTTTTTTTTAAGATTTTATTTATTTATTTATTTGAAAGAGAGTGAGAACACACGGTGTGTGTGTGAGCAGGGGGAGAAGCAGAGAGGGAGTGGCCAAGGGAGAGGGAGGGAGTCTCAAGCAGACTCCCCGCTGAGCTTGATGCAGGGCGGGATCCCATAACCCTGAGATCATGACCTGAGCCAAAACCAAGAGTGTGACACTTAACCAACTGAGCCGCCCAGGCGCCCCTCTGCTGTTGTTACTAACTGCGTGACCTTCAGTGGGTTGCTTACATTCTGCGCCTTCATTTTTTCCATCTGTAAGATGGGGCCCAAACCACGCGCCTGGGTCTGAAGTACCTAGGAGGCGCCTCCTGTGGGGTGTGCGCACAAGGAATATCTGCTTCCTCCCCCTCCTGCCATGGGGAGCTTCTGGGGCTGTGCTTGTGTGTCTTGTCCCATGTTTACTGTGTGGTCTGCACAGGGCCAGGCCCCCTAGAGAAATAGAGAGGGGACACATCCCCAGCCCCCATACCTGAAAGTCAGTCCTGAGGTCGGACTTGAGGAAAGCAGCCGCTGAGCTAAATGAAGTGGAGATAGGCCCTCAGGTGCTCATGGAGACCCCTGCACTGAAGCCATGCCTTCATGTTAGACCCTTGTTCACTTCTCTTATCACCTCCTATTTAGCACAGAGGTGTAATGAGTGCAACAGAAGCCGTCGGCACTGCTCACCAGGAAGGTGGTGGAGGGAGGTGGGGCAGAGCGGAGGGGGGCTGCTAGGGAACGGTGGGCAGGCTGGAAGGCAATGCCAAGGGCGGCCCCGGGGTGGGACTCAGGGCTCCGCCACCCGGTCCTGGGATAAAGGGGCTCAGGATGGGGGACCCCAGGCCTTTGGGGGGTGGCTAAAAGAAAAAGACAAGCAGCACAAACTGTCTCCTTGGCCCCCTAGCTCAGACAGCTGGGCCTTCACCACAACTGCCCCATGTGGTCAGCTATATGTTCCAGGAGAGGGAGAGAGTGTAATATGATTAAGGCCCACTTTCTGAAAAATAAAAACCCAAAAAGACACACAAAAAAGCATGTGATGCTTGGAGGAGTAAAGTTAATTCTGTAGGAAATGTACCCTGTGAAATGTCATTCCTTTATGATGTCAGGGAAATGAAGTGTCCGTGTCCAACAACACGTGCACATTCAATGTCCGTACTGATGCAGCAGAGTTCCAGAAGGGGAGGTGTCAATACCATGTCGTCGTAATCAGAGAAGGCTTCCCGGAGGTGGTGTGGAAGCAGGCAGACAGTTGTGCTCCCTTGTGGCCCAGGGGCTGTGGGCATACGCCCTTCCTCTGAGGTCAGTGTCCACCTCTGTAATAAGGAACAGCATCAACATCGCTGTACAGCAGGAGGTGAGCCCTGCAGGCGCCTGGCACTTAGTAGATGCTCAGTAAGTGACTTTGTTGTATGATCCCAGGTAAAGACAGCAAGGTGGTGAGGAAGGAAGGGGATGGTGGTCATGTGGCAGGAGTCACGGGGTCTGGAGCAGGGCAGGCCTGGGTCTGCGTCTTAGTTCTGCCACCTGCCGGCTGAGTTTCCGTTTTCTCATGAGCGGATCAGGAAACATCCCTTCTGGAGTCTTTGGGAGGGTTAAGGAGGATCACGCACGCAAAGCCTGTAGGTCAGCGCCTGCCCACAGTCTGTAGCCCACTCTAGATAAACGATAACTGAGAGCTGCCATCACTAGTCTGCTGTCGTCATTCTTGACAGCACAAAGGGAGGGAGGCGGGCTGTGGTCAGGGACCCGTTCCCTGCTGGGTGGAGGGGCGTGAGCCGGAGGGGCGTGAGCCAGTGGGAGAGCGCAGCTTTTCACAGCACGGAGGCAGCTTCCCAGGAGTGTCTGAGCTGTCACTTCAAGGGAAGGAAAGGTCTGTGTCTTGGGAAACAACGGCTCATGTCTCGCACGCCTGGCTGCCTTGAGACCTCATGCCAGCCCTAATGTGGGCTTGCTTTACTCACTAGCTGTGCGCAGGTACAGGCGAGGGGCCTGGGTAACCTGCCCCATGCTCTTCCCCCCTTCGGTGAGGTTTCCTACAATGTCTCTCCTTCTAGATGAAGCCAATGAATGTGGAGTATCTCATGATGGACGCCTCCATCCTGCTGCCCCCGACGGGCACACCGCTGACCGGCATTGACTTTGTAAAGCGGCTGCCGTGCGGCGATGTGGAGAAGACCCGGCGGGTGAGTAAGTGCGGGCAGGACCCCCCTCTCCCTGGGCCGCCAGCTGACCAGGTCAAGAGCCCGCCTTCCAACCCACTTCGGGACAGGGGGCGGACGACACCCCCCTGGCGCCCTGCCACCGGGAGGAACTTCCCAAGGCCAGCTGCCCTTGGCTAAAACAGGATTGAGATTCCCCTGTGTGAGGGCCAGGCAGGCTGCCTTGGCTGGTGCAGAGCAGGGCCCCAGCCCCAGGCTCTGGGGGGGACACCTCTGGGCTGCTGCCAGGCACTTGGGGGAGTGAGCCGAGAACAGGCAGTGCAGGTGAGGCCCTGGTGTGAAATCCTCTCCCAGGGAGGCTCGGGACCCCCGGAGATGGAGCAGTGGTGTGCTGATAAGGTATCTGAGGGATCTGGGTGCGAGGCACACACAAATGAGATTGTGACTCTTGCCAGTCCGCTCCCACGTGTGAAAAGCAGAGGAGTTCTCAGAACCCTGCTGGAGTGTGCGTCCCTTATCAGCACTTTTTCTGAAGCAGTCTCACAGGGCTGTTCACAGTATTTTATCTCTCGCGTAAGATCAGTTTCTTTCTTAGAAAGCACCATCACCTCTTCCTAGAAAATCATTCCCTGGAGACATGAAGGGATAAATTCGATGAGCTCCTTGCTCTCTTCTTCTCAGCTAATCCCCGTTCTAACCAGAGCGGCAGAGGTGTTAATTTTGGGATTTTGAGAAGCAGGAGTGACCTGCTGGATCTGCCTCAAACAGGAGGATTCCGTGGCCTTCCTCTACCCAGGCGATGATTTGGCCTCGGAGGCCTGGGGTGGAGGGAGATGCAGAGGAAGTCCGACCTGTGTGTTTTAAGTCAGTGCACATTCCCTGCTGTCTGACCAAACCTGCAGACCTCACCACAGGACCCACCCTGTCTGAGCCAGTGACACCCGCCTTCCTCGTGCTCCCAGCCAGCCCTGCAGGCCCCGTGGCCGGGCACACGAGCATGTTTGTGGGTGGCACTGTTTGCACTGGGCATCACTGGCCCCGGTTTCACCACAGGGCTGGTTTTGACAAACATGGGTTGTGTTGGCGACTCCTTCACGGGCGGGCATGCTCACCTGTAGCCTTTGGTTGGCCTCGGAAATGTTCCATGGCGAGGCTAGAGCGAAGGTCCTGTCCCCAAGGCCCGCCTCGTCCCCTGAGCCAGAGGTCCGGAAGGCTGTGAATGGGGAGAGCTGCCGCTCTGGGTTGCCCTCTGCCTTCTTTTTGGTCCCTGGGCCCCCAGTTTTCTCAACACTTAGATGAGCTCCTCTTTGATACCAAGTGAGTCATTCCCATCAGTCCTTTATGTGAACCTCCTCATGTAATTCTACAACCGTCCTAAGAAGTTGGCATTATATGAACCCGTCTTGCAGAGGAAGAAACTGAGGCATGATGAGGTCAGGTGATTGGCTCGTGGTCCCCCAGCTCATAAGTAGCAGAGCCAGGACTCCCTGCAGGCAGTGTGGCCTGCTTCCCACCACTCCCTTCATTGTATTTACTAGCCCTGCTTGGTGCTGGACAGTAGGGACCTAACATGTCTGTCCTCAAGGAGTCAGAGTCTAGAGGACAAGGTAGGAAAGGGAGCATTGCCAGTCTGTGCGTCTGAGGCTGTTGCTAAAGGAACATGGGGTCAGGCGCCTCCTCCTGCCTGGGGAGGGATGTAGAATGGGTGGCAGAGGGATAGGTTGGGCAGCCAGGAAAGGCAAAGGCCTGGACAGATGTGGCTCACTCCAGCACCTCCAAGGAGGGGACATGGCTGCAGCCCACAGTGAGGGAGGCTTTGTGGGAAGTGATGAGGCTGGAGGGGGCTGATCTCTGGGGCCTTAGAGCCCGTTGAGGACCTTGACCTTGTTAGCTACTTCCTGGCATCAGGCCCTGCTGGGTTGGGGCAGACGGTCCTGATCTACAGGAGAGGATGGGAGAAATTCAGGGCCAAGGCATATGGCAAAGGGAGGGTCGCTTGGGCTCTGGGGTTCCTTCTCCCGTCTCAAAGCAGCATGTACCTGCCTTGCCAGAGTCATTGCGAGGACTCAGTGAAGGGCAGAGCACAGAAAGCCAGTAAGAGTTCTCGAGGGTAGGGGTTCCCTTCTTCCCTTTGCCCCAGACATCTCACTTGGTTGTAAGTTCCCAGGGTCGTGCTGCCCACCTCCCTTTCCCCAGATGAGATGCATGGCGCAACTGCTATGTGAAGCACAGAGACCTCCCAGGAATGCCTGGGCTTCCCTGGAGTCACTCGTTCAGCCTTTGTCTGACAAGTTTATACGATCAACCCTCAAGTCTCAGGGTCCCTGGGTTTAGAACCAGGGAGAAGGTTGCAGAATATATAGAATAGCGCTGACTATCTCAAAGTGAAGCCATCTACCTTAGAGAAGCTTCCCTGACTTCAGGAATCAGTTTCTAAAGGGGGATTTTGACCACTCACCTCAGTCCAGTTCCTGTTTCAAGGCAGCTGTCTAGAATCATCCAGAAGCTTAGCTCCTTAGACCATTTCAGACATCAGAACACAGCAGTGTGCTTTGAATTTGAGCTAAAGGAAGTGTATGGTTTAGCAAGCAATTGAGGGCTTATGTGGTTTGTTTCAAGTTCTTTGCTTGTATCCAAAGAACATTCCATTTCATCCTTTTGGATTCAAACGTTTTATTCTTCCCTTTTTTTTTTTTTCCACCAAGTAGACTTTTTTTAACTTTCGGGAGGCTGACACTTTTCAGAAATCCCACCTTTCGTTTTCCTTGAGGACTTGTTAAAGAAGTTCAAACAACCCGTACTAATACATCCTTCCTAACCTGTAAAATAGTCATCCAATCACCAGAGAGCCACTGGATGCCTACTCGATGCCAGATGGTGCAGAAATGAACAGGGCCGAAGGGACAGTGAGTGCAGAGTCCCCGAGATGCGAAAGAGTATAGCGTGTTCAAGGAGCAGGTGACGAGCAGAGTGGAGGGGAGGGGACAGGACAGGAGGATGGCTAGGCCTTTCAGGCCATGGGGAGGCATCCGACACTGAAAGTCATGGTGTCCCTCTTGCATTTTGCAAATCACACTCTTTATTCTTTCATTCAACGTATTTGTTGAGCATTTTTCTAGGAGCCAGGCACTGTGCAAAATGCAAGAATAGACCGTGAACAAATAATATAAGACCAAAATAGCAAGAGTGCCACTGAGCCATGCCAGCTAATAAGGGGAATTCACGTTGAAATGAAGGTTTTAGGAACTACTGGGATCTGATGAGAACATGGAAGCAGAAGTGGGGACGTGGGCTGGACCTATCCCAGGGGCAGCTGAGAGAAGCCGTTAAGAAAGAACACAGGCTCGTGGGACCAACCAGGGTTCAATCCCAGCTCCAATTGTGTGACATTGAGCAAGTTGCTTACCCTCCTTGAGCCTCAGTGCATCCTGTCTCTCAGCTCCTGGCCAAAGTAGATAAGGTAGAGGGACTGCAAGGTGCCCGGCAGGCAGGAAGAGCTCAGGAAATGTTGGCTGAACAGGGGTGGAGCAGTCTAACGTCTCAGGAGGGAAAGAAAGAGAGTTTTTAGCCATCTACTGAAGCTTCAGCGTAGAGAAGAGAGTTAGGGAGAGGAATTTCTGGTGAATCTCAAGATCTGAATGTAAGCCACTGGCCGTCTGTGATAATCTTGGAAGCCAGTATGAAATAAATATAGTCGCGTGAAATTTTATTTGTTCCTGACTTCTGTTCCTTGTTCCCACGTAAAACCACAAACAGTTTTTGTTTTTATCGCTATTGCCTGCAAGGAAATAGGATATTTTTCTTTATTCTTTGGATGCATATTACACATTAAAGCACATCTCATAGGGTTTCAAAAGTAGAGGGAAAGAATTTCCCGTGATTTCATCACCCTAAACAAAGAAAGCTTAGACGCTTTTCGTGTCTCCTCCCTGTCTTTGTGTTCAGTCACATCGTCTCATGCCGGTAGGAAGAGTGCATTGTGGTCTTCCTTCCAGTCTCTTCCTTCCCTCTCTCCCTTGTACAGTGAGAAGCTTTCTGTGCTGGGATGCGGTTTTAATTTCAGTCATATTTCTTACTGGTGCGTGAAAGTTTATCTGGCGACTTCTGCCGTAACTTACTCAGGCATTTTCCTGCTGCTAGACATTCTGGTTGCTTCCAGTATTACATTATTTTCAACTAAACTGTCCTGAGCAGCTTCACGAATACAGGGTTTTCTTTCTTTTGGCTTATTTCTTTAGGAAAAGTTCCCAGAAGTAGAATTTCTGGTTCAGGGGGCACGGACATTTTCTGTGTGACGCTCCCCATATTGCCAAGGGGCTTTCAGGGCGGGGCGGGCCCACGTGACACTGCTTCGGCACCCTCTTAGGAGTGACTGGCTTTTCACAGCCACTTCCACGCCTGGTGGGCTCCTCATCTGGGTGACAGCCCCCCGAACTCCATGGCTTGCAAATGTGACAAGGGAAGCAGAGAGAGGGCTGGACCTGAGCTCTCGATTCAGGATGCACCTCCAGGGAGGCCCCAAGATCAGGGCCGGTGGGTACTCCATTCCCAGAACTCGAGCCCGGGCTCAGGGAATTCACGTGACTCACTCGCCGAGTTCTGTTCGACCCTGAAGCCATCCTGCCCCACTGTAGTGGACTCCTCTCCCATGACCCCACTTCCTTCTCCACGACCCTGCTGCAGAGCTTGCTCCCAGGTGCCTTGGAGCACACGGGATGAGCCTCTTTAACTTCAGCATGCTCAGCTGTCACCCCTTGCCAAAGCTAGTGTGTGCTTCCAGAGTCCGTCTTCCTGGCATTCTGTGGAAGCATCAGAAAGCAATAATTCCTTCTTCCTTTTTAATACTTTTTAAAGTGCATGTTTATTTGGCAAAGTAAAGAGAAGCATTCAATAAAAGCCTGGTTCCCCAGCCTTAAATCTTTTGAAGGCAAAGGCATGTGGCTGGAAGAACACAGACTTTGGAGTCCGGTTATTAGCTGAGTCACTGTGGGCAGGCTGCCTCACATCCCTGGGCTTTGGTTTCCGGTCTGTAAAATGGGAACCACAGAGGGTCGTTAAGAGGCTTCAGGGAGATGACACGGTCCAGCCCCGCCAGTACCTGGCAGGTCTCGGGTAAGCGGCGGAGGGGGGGCACTTACTGTTTAGGGGGCTGTGGGATGAATTTGAGGACCCTTATCCTGGTGTTTTACCTCTCTTTCGTGGATTCCCGAAGTTGTGGGGCTCGTCAGCGTGTTCTATATTCTTTATATTTTTATTGTTGTATTATTGTCATTATTTTTTGTATTTCTGGAAATATTTTCCATTTGTTGCTTCCAGAGCAAAAGCAAAAAGGTCTATATTAGGAGCCAAATTCCGAACTCCTTTTGTATTGGAAGGTTTCAGGTTCTCAGAGTGATGGTCTAGAAAAGCACACATGTTCCTCTTTTTTCACCCCCCAGCAAGGGTCCTGCTTGATTTCTTTGCCTTCAGAACCTTTGAGAGGAATGGATTTTTGACACTGAAATGAAGCATTCACTCAGCTTGGACCTGACCGATGGGCCTTTTTCCTCAATTCCGAGGCCATGATTCCTTACTTGAGAGCTCAGATGGCCATATAGTTCAAGGGGCCACCTGCGTCTCAGGCTTTCTGCACTCGGGCTGGTGCACACGTGCGAGTGTCCTTGTGGGCTTGGTTAAGTGACACAAACATCAGACATTGGTGGTTCCAAGCCCAGCTCAGGCATCACGAGCAGCGTGAACTTGGATCGCTCTGCCCCTCCCAGTTCCGTTTCTTCTCGCGTAACAGCTTTACGTTGCAGTAAGGTGCGCACGGTGCCTGGCACACAGTGGGTGCTTAATAAATAAAAGCTGTTTTGATTTTTAAAAAAATGAAAAGGCACTTCCTTTTTTTCCTGATTGTTGCAAATGTCTTAGGAAGGCTGTACTTTAAAAAACTGATAAGGACAATCAGATCAATACTAATGCCGCCATCCCTACTACCACCCCCATCGTTATAATATAAAGGCTTATCTGTCTCTAATGCTTCTGGTGGACAAGGGGGGAATACGTGACCTCAGCATACATCCAGGAGGTAGGGTTGTTCTTCCAGTTTTCTCCATTAGGAGATGGAGGCAGTGGCTCAGGTTTCCTGCCAGGTCCAGGCCAAGGCCGGATTCGGGTTTAAATGTGCCAGTGGACATCCTTGTTGCCTGGGTCAGCAGGAGTCCATGCAAGGCCTGCTCTTTGCAGGCAGGAATTTGCCCCCCCGCTTTGTTTTGGGAGGCACCTTGTCATAGGAAGGGCGGTCTCCCCTCTCAGTGGGCCAGGCCTTTAGCCTCAGGACTATAAACAAGAAGACCAAAAGTGGGCTGGAATTCATCGTTGTGTGGCTCACCAGTGGCGACAGTGGTTTGTCCCCATGCCCTCCCCCGTGCCCAGCTATCCAGTAGCTGGAGGAAAGGACGGCGGCCCCTTTACGGAACACATGCGGGCTGCTCCCCCCTCGCCCCCCCCCCACATTATCTCAGAGCCTCCTAGCAGGCCTGCAGGGCAGGGACTACCGCCCCATTTCACAGATGCGGAAATCGAAGCTCATGGAGGCCAGGGGCCTTGCCTGGTGAGTCCAACACAGGCCTCACGTGTCTGACTCCAGAGCTGCTTCCCTCAGGCGTGTGCCTCAGGTAGGCCCATCAGCTGTGTGTCGGGGAAGGTGGCATGGAGGTGGCCTCTCCCATGGGCTGTGCCTCCGCTTCCTAGACTCTCGCCGGTGGGCACCTCAGCCCCAATCTAGGACCCAGGGGTCAGGTGCACTCACGGCAGGCTGGGTCCTCGGTAAAAGCCGCTTTCTGCGCAAACTTCTCTGGGTCCGGGCCTGGGATTCTGTGTTTTTCCTGCTCTCTGGAAACGTCTGATGGCCATACCGGACTCCACGCAGACACCTCGTCCACGGGCCAGGAATCCCTGTGCTGGCGGGGCTGTCTCTGGCCCCAGGAAGTGGCTGGGTCAGCCTGAGGGTGCTTGGGGCACTGATGTGATGGCACACCGGCCAGGCCCCAGGCCTGCTGTCTCATCCACAGCACACTGAGACTCTGCTGTGAACGGGCTCACCCTGGGAGGGGCAGGGGCAGGATTTTAACGGAGTCTGGCTGGCTGCGAACCCTACGAGCATCTCACCCTCTTCTGCCCTCCCTACCCCCGCATTCACTAGGCGGGACATGGGAACACTGTTACTTGTGATACGGATTTCCAAATTCTGTGCTGGTTTAGTTGGAAGAGGCCTGGTTCTAGCCCTCCCTAGCCGTGTGACCTGGGGCGGTTCACTTAGCCTCCTTGGGTCCCAGTGCATTGTCTGCAAAATGCGGCTGCTTGCTAAGCAAGGGTGTCATGAAGGTCACATGGCACTAGGAGAGAGCTCCTGGCAAATGACAGGTGCTCAGTTGAGGTGAAGTGGCCTAAACCTATGAACTAAAAACAGGCTGCACCCTTTGATTTTTTTTTTTTTTTTGGCCTTGCTCTGAAAACACCAGAGCCATGATACTGGGACAAGTGGACTTTGTTTTGTTTTGTTTAAATCAAGAGTCACAGACTGTGTGATTTCTCCATATGGAGCACTTCACCTAAATAACTCCAGCTTCATCCTCCTCTGCTCCTGAACTCTGTCCAGGCCATCCGGGTGTTCTTCATGCTCCGTTCCCTGTCACTGCAGCTGCGAGGGGAGCCCGAAACCCAGTTGCCCCTGACGCGGGAGGAGGACCTGATCAAAACGGATGATGTGCTAGATCTGAGTGAGTCCTGGCGGGGGGGAGGGG